ACAAGACAATATTATGGAATACAGTGGTGTAACCTATTTTCGTGGATATAAGGATTCAACACCGAATTTTGTCAAAGTTAAAAAAACGAAAAAAAAATTTTATGCCTTAGATGTTTCCTCAGATATTCTACAAAATAATTAAAATTGGTTTATTTCGATTTTCTTTATGAATCCTTCACTTTGACCCATATTTCATGAGCAACCAACTCGGCAACGGCGGCAGAATGCGTCACCTATTTTCGTGTACAATGTTTTATCTATAAATAAGTCTAGAAAAACATGTTGTATGGATACCGGGTGGTATGATTAACTTCTCTTAGTATTTATTTTTAATATCAATTCATTATAACTAGTGACAATTCCTTCAAAGAACCACGATTTTAAAAAAAAATAGTGACTGACAAAATAAGATACATAGCGTGATTTATTGCTAAAAGTCACTGAAACAACATAAGAATATGGTCCACTTTATGTTCCATAGAAATTTTCTGCTGACACTCGGAATCCGCCAGTTGATCACGTGACTTCATTCGTTTGAATATATTCTAGCAGACGACACTTGGAATTCCGATTACCGCTTGGGATTATAAGGAAATTCGGCCGATAAAAAATGGTGACGTTTGGTAATAAGTGAAATCCGCCATTTTGTAATTGTCAAAGTATACATTATTACACTTTACCTTGCTTGAAACTACTGGATTTATTCTACTAGCTGATATTGTACAGAAAACCCATGTTTATTAAAACAATCTAATGCGGAGGTCGCGCAAGGTCGCACATGTAAATTATTAATCCTTTCCGGAAATCCACGAATAATAGGTTTCCACGAAATTAGGTTACTTGACTGTATAACACACTTCTTTAATAAGGTTGGGCACATAACGTTTCAACACAATATACAGTGTCGTCATCAGATGTAATGTGATTTTCTATTCATATAACACCTGTCAAAAAAGGTGACGCAATTTACACATCATGAAATTTGACCATCTTTTTTGTATAAAAATTTCCTCAACAAAATATTCAATGTATAACTGTCATCTGTGGATAAAAAACAAGATTTTTGATTAAATTTATGGTTTCATGAAAAAATAATCAGTGAACAGTACGTAGCAAAAAAAGAAAAAAACGGCAAACCTTACATCCGTCAAAATTGATAACACAAGGATATAGGCATAAGAGCATTAGGCCTATGGCCTTCAGCTGAGGAGGCCATATCGTCATTTGATTTGGTAAGACGCAAAGTTGACTAAATATTATAACCTTTGTATTAACAGGTTATGCCTAAAAATTCATGTGACAACTACATTGTGGCTTTTAAACGAACCTGCTTGAGGTACTGAATATATTTATACGGATGATATTTGCTAGATACGATATAAAAAACGTTTACTTACCAATAGATATTTTTCGCAATGTTTATTTTCTTTCACTTCCTGCTTTAAAATGACACTGCGCATGTCAAATCTGATCACGAGCCTTAGTAATTCTATTAATAGCACATTACGTATGATCATAGAACTTGTCAGTATACAGTTCTATGGTATGATGTCCTATCTATGATGAACACCAGCATATGATGGGTATGGTGGCCCACCAATCAATCATTTGATTAGCCGTCACAGGAACTTTTTGAAATTCATACCATACTATCTCACACTTGTCATTATTCGAAATATCAAATCACCAAATTCTGATAATGGGAACTGATAGAACCTCCTGGAACTTCTAATATTGCTCTCAATTCCATGGGCATGATGGGTTATTTGTCAGTGACCACTAATAATTAAATCACTTCAATTGATTTTGCAGTGTTATTATAACTTAAAATTTGACGTCACCCTTTGATCTCGATGTAGGATTATCCAACTTTTAGTTCACTAACATAACTTTACACTAATAAACATAAATATTATAAATGTGTTCTAAAATATTTGAGTCATTCTGCCCCTTATTTGTACAACTCGTCTAGATCGTAGCAAAATTTCGTGCAACCCGTGCAAATTATCTTCTTTGAGGGTAGCCTGATTTAGACCTAAAATTTGAATAATGACAGTAACGCTATGTCCCTTTAAATTTCGGGGTAATATTTGGCGCGAATCTAGCAATCATGTTATTTGTTCTGCCAGAATTAAAGGTCCCATTCCGTGCAATTTACTTCACAAACATGTGAATTTGGCAATTTTTTCCCTCGGTAACTTAACGAAATATACTTTATTCGTTGATCCAAAGATTTTTGAACAGGTTTTAGACTTTACAAAGGTTTTTTAAGTCCAATACCTCTATTCAAAAAACTTTCAACCAGTCACTCTGAAATATTGGTGGATGTTTTCCTTTAATAATTTATCGACTTTCACCAAATTGACGAGAAGGTGACAGTTCAAAACCATCAGAAACTCAAAACAATTTTTTGGCGGTAAGAGTTGACACGTAGAGCACGTGGATGCAGAATTTTGGCTGGTGATTGGCTGAAATTCAAATTGTCAGTCAAAAAGTGGGAGGAGTTTAACGTAAAATCATCGTTTGCGTATCCAAGAGTTTGCATTTCTGAGCGGGATTTCGGTCTTATTAGTTGCGACTTATGATATATTCTGTATTGGATTCTGGATGGTTTTGAATTATTTCGATATATTCAGTGCTAAATCTTTGACTAATATCTGTGGATTGGGATTTATTTGATACTATCTGTATTATTCTGGATGGTTTTAGATTATTTTGTGATTGTTCTATAAAATAATTCAACGATGACACTTTTGGAAATATGACAAATATTGGACACTTATTCACAAGAAAGTAAGCCATTTTCTTCATTCAAATTTTGATTGGAAACTTGTAAGGAATATAAACTGGTTTTCTAGAAATAGGGACACCGATAGCATCGATTTGTACCATTCCAATTTTCTGTTTTATTTTTTCCGATTCCACTAAAACTAGACTTTTTTTGACGTCACTATTGCCGAATCTGTTAATATCTACAGTCTTTGTGAAATTGACGTGACAGTTTTACTTCAGTGGAATTGCACTAAAAAAGAAGTTAATCAGAAGCATGCATACCTCGAGTAGCTCGTTTCATTTAGAAGCATGCATACCTTGAATAGCTCATTTCATTTAGTTCTACCAAACGTTTTGTTAAAGAGATTAAAGATACTCGAGGTTTAAATATTATCGGTTAGTTTGGACTTTTCTCAATCTAGATTCTTACGCGGGTGACCTTGAAAATTTAGACTCAATGTCACGAGAATAAATATGGCAAATATAAGTTATTTCATGACTGCAAAAATAACATGGAAGATATCAGGAGTATCATTATTGTCAACTTTTGTTTGTATATATATTTTGCACTGGTTTAATGATAGGCCTACTCTTCAGAACCTTTACATACCGTACTTCATACGTTAAAAAGTGCTATACAAAAATTTTAAACTGCTGTGCAATTTAGGCCCATAGAGTAAAAGACTTGTGCAAATAAAAAAAAGTAATTTGTACCCTTCAGAGATGAGGGTAGTCTGGTTTAGGATTAGGGGGTGGAGGTATTAAAGAGAGGGCGGCCTATATTTGTTGTTTTAGAATATGGTATTAAGGTAGTTAGGGATGGTGTCCTATAATTGTTAGTTTAGTGACATTAAGGTAGGGATGAGGGTAGACAGGATTAGAATTAGGGGGTGGGGTGTTAAAGGGATGGTGTCCTATAGTTGTTAGTTTATAATAAGAAATTAAGGTAGAGATGAGGGTGGACAGGTTTAGAAATACGGGGGTGGAGGTATTAAAGAGAGGGCGGCCTATATTTGTTGTTTTAGAATATGGTATTAAGGTAGAGATGAGGGTAGACAGGTTTAGTATTAGGGGGTGGGGGTGTTAAAGGGATGGTGTCCTATAATTGTTAGTTTAGTGACATTAAGGTAGGGATGAGGGTAGACAGGTTTAGAAATAGGGGGTTGGGGTATTAAAGGGATGGTGTCCTATAATTGTTAGTTTAGTGACATTAAGGTAGGGATGAGGGTAGACAGGTTTAGAAATAGGGGGGTGGGGGTATTAAAGGGATGGTGTCCTATAATTGTTAGTTTAATGACATTAAGGTAGGGGTGAGGGTAGACAGGTTTTGAATTAGGGGGTGGGGATGGTTATTAGGTCATATCTATGCAAGCGTCCTATTGTGAGAATTCAGATTTTTGTCTTGTGATTTATGAGAAAAGTATGACAGCCCTTTAATACTTAGTAAAATTTTACTTTTTGAAACAATTCAGGACACAATGTTGTTTGTATTCTAAAAATTATTATTCTTTTTACAGTGACAGCAGTTCACAGAAGTTATTAGTATGCAAAGTTTTAAATCGCTTTTGACAAATAGATCTTTTTTTTTTATATATATATATGGTGAGTTTTTTTTTATAATTAACTTTCTGGTTTTTCTGAAAACTACTTGATTTATTTCTCAGGTATTCCAACTATTAGGCCTAAGTTTAAGCAAGGGGGAATCTTGTGAATTTTTGTGAGGGGACTTTCTGTTACTGAAGGGATGTAGCCCCTTAATTGTTATATTTCAGAGTCTGGTGCAAGTGAAAAAAAACTTTTATCATGATTCTAATGCAGATGTTAATGTTAAGTTTCTTTTTTTTTGCAGGTGAATCCACTAACCCTGATTTAACAAACTTCATTTATATTTGGTGATTGTGTTTAGAATGAATGACCATCCAGAGTTGTCATGATTTATGCTAACCAATCCAAAGTACTTTTAAAAATGGTAAGACACTACATCTACTAGTCCATTTAAAACAATAGATACCCTGCAATTCCTGACATACAGCAAGGAAATCTTATATGGTACACAATATTTGATACATAAATTACTTACTGTGTATTAGTGAGTTGAATAATAAATGGCCCAGAACAGGACATGAATAACAAATTTGTCAGATCATGTATGCTAAGTGGAGTCAGTTGCATAAAATAATAAGAAACATCCCTGTTTTTGCTATTTAATTTGAATAAATGATTTATTACAGGTATGAAATCTTCTCATCAGTTAGAAACTTGTTGGTCTATAGATATCAAATTATGTTCCAGTGAGCTGTTAAATGGTGAGTCTTCTTTATCAGTCAACAAACTACCTTGCCTTCCAAGATTGATTATTGACCCTTTCTTTATTTGTGCTACCATAAGGGATGTCCCTTGTACCACAGGTTGTGCTTGCTTATTGAGGAAATTAACAATGAGGAAGCTAATGCTTCAATCGTCAAAAATTGTCTACATTGTACACTGCATACTATCTTCATTAACCCAATCAGGTACAGAAAAGTAGGACTTAAAACCCCATTTCATATTATATCTATATACATACTGAAAGGGATGCAGTTCTATAATATCCCTTTATTTTTTTTTTAATTTAGTAAATTTTACATTCATTTTCTATTTCAGATATTGAATGTTGTCAGTTTAATTATTGAAATACAACATGTCTTTCAACATCTTGATAATTGGTGAGTTTCTCTTAATTAAGTTGATATTTTTGTAAAATATTCCATTTGGAACAGACTCGCTGACAGTAACACCAATATTTTTATGTGTAAACACTAATTTTGTAGAGCTGAGCTCTTTATTAGGAATAATGATAGGAATAGTTGACATTGATCTCTATCAGCTGTTTTAACAAATATTTAGACTTAAAACTTGATCTTTTAAAATATTTAACATTTCGCTACTATTGTCTGACTCTTCTTGAGTCTCAAGAGTCATTTGTATGTATGATATTGCCTCATGATCACTTATTTTCACTTATTATTGTAGGTAGATCAATTCATGGCCTAGTTAGAGCAACCAGAAAACACAGGTGGAGTTTTAAAAGTTCTGTAAGTTATATTTTATTCTCATGCATCATCCCATGTTGCCCCTGTCTGATGGTCCATTCACAATTTGCTTGTGAACACAATAGAGGCTATAGTATTTGATTTTAATGAAATGAAATTGGGCGTGATCATTTATATTGATGAGGTTTCGGTTAAGTTAGAATTCGACGATTTTTCAATGAACCGTTTTTGACCTAGGAAGAACTTGTCAAAATTTGTTTGTGAACACAATAGAGACTACGGTTTTAATCTGATTTGAATGAAATTTAGTGTGATCATGTATATTGATGAGATCTTGGACAAGTTGAAATAGGATCTTTCGATGATTGGTTTTTGTGTTGTTAAACTTGACTTAAGAAAAATGCCTCAAAATTTGTTCGTAAACGCAATACAGACTACAGTTTTTGTCTTATTTGAGTGAAATTTGGTGTGATCATGTATATTGATGAGATCTTGGACAAGTTGGAATTTGATATTTTGATGATTGGTTTTTGAGTTATTAAACTTGATTGATTGCCGTCGACTTGGTAAAAATGCATCAAAAATTGTTGGCTTGTAAACAAGATAGAGGTAGGAGTTTATGTCAGAATTTTATCTGTTCGTTTAAATCAACAATATCTATGACAACTTAGATTTGACACAGATTGGCGACCACGCTTGATATAATGAAAATTTGGGTGTATCTTGCCAGAAATATTATCCATTTTTAAATGCCCACATCTCTCTATGTGGACGTATATTGTCGGCGCCCCGTCTGTCTGTCCGTCCATCCGTCAACATTTACTTGTAAACGCTCAAAAAATCACATGAAATTTGGTATGTTAATACATATTCATAAAACGAAGATCAAGTTCGAATTTCAGCTATTTTCGACCATTAGAAGCAGAGTTATTGCCCTTGCCCCAAAATCTTG